TTTTTTTCATGTATTGTAAAGTTGTGTGAATTTTTCAATAAATTCTTTTGTCAAAACCACTTGCAATCTGATTCATAGCTGAGCGCCTTGCCGCCGGTTACATTAGCATTTATTTTTATGGCCTAACAGCCTTGGTCCATATATTCAAGACCTCGGCACAGTTTTTCCCTATCCTGGCTGGGTAAATAACATATTATGTGTATTCTATATGCTTGCAGAGCATCATTCAATGAAATATCATGGTCCCTCATTTTCTCATTATTTGGTAAACACACCACAGGACTGTAATCATTGACTGCATGCATCCTTGACAGTTGTTACCTCATTTATTTATGTCAGCAAATTATTCATGAAAGTCTTCTGAAATGTACGTAAAGAATATTTGTAATAATAAACTTTGATGATAATCCTAGAACAGTTAGGTAATGAATTAAATGAGGCTAATGATAATTCAATGGTCAGGGGTGGTATACATCACAAGCAATGAACAGCTGGACTATATGAGTAGAATATATACTTCTTAAATCATATGAACCAACACTTTGAATGATTACTATTAGTAAATATTATTAATGCTTGTTCTCTTGGTGTATTGCTAGCTTACATTGCTGGACCAGATGAAAGAGATCTCTGTAGTAAGTTAATGCTCATGTTTTTCAAAATTGATTATTATTTAATGCAGCAATAAGGTATACATACTCTACTATAAAGACATGCCTTAATGTTGTTATCTAATAGGTGTCAGCCAGCCTCCCATCACACTGCATGGGTTTGACAATACCAACCTGAGTGGAATCAAGATAGGTGTGGACTGGAAATTCTTTGAGGTTAGCATGAATTAATTGCTAAAGAAATCTGTTCAACATCATTGGCAATGTATAAATTGCCCACAAATCCACTTTAACAGTTGATATACACCCAACACCCATGCCTCACTCATGTCATACCCAGTTGATAGTTGGGGGGAGATGGGAAATGATAAATTTCCCTTTCAAATTCTGTCTTTTCTTTCTTTTTCTTTGCTTGTTTCTTTCTTTCCCATCTTGCTCTTTCTTGCCACTTTTTTCATTTTATCTATTTTTCCTGAACCTATATTCATAAGCATGGCTGATGATTGTTCTTTGTTCTTTCACATCTGTAGCACACAGACAGTGAAGTACTTGATAAATGCAAAAAGGGTAATAAATGGCCACAGCCTGAACTTTCCTCTTTTACCTTTGATTTTGTAAATGTTTTACTTTTCTTGAGTAACTTGACATAAAGAAGTGTGCACTTTTTAAAACTTTAATCTTCTTTTTAGCTTTGACATATCTTGAGAATAATGGTGCAAAGATTGTGTCCTTGAAGATCCCTGAGTTGGAGGTTGACCAGTAATTCGTTTTTTATAATATGCTCTATGAGATTACTTAATGATTCAGATTGGACAAGCCGAGTACAATTTCATCCCAAATTGTGTTCTGTAGAGTACCAATTAAGTTGCTCTTTTTTTTTTTTTTTTTTTTTTTTTTTTTTTTTTTTTTTGTTATATAGGCTAGTGAAAACTTTATGAAGAGAATAAAACGTATCATTTAGTCTGGTTGTAAAACTGAGGGAGCTCCAATTAACAGCATGTTTATATAGCCGTTCCACTGCTTCGTTTTAGGGGACGAGGTCAGGTGACCTAGTAGCGCAAATGCCAAATGAAAATAAATGATAAAATAAGTAATGACAGCTCGATATTAGTGAGAAAACGATGTTTCAGCTCATCATATAAATTATTATATAAACATTAGGGTTTTACTGGGAAATACTGTCGCCACTCGTATTTTTCATTTTTCATGACGTCTTTTCCAATGTTTTCGACAATTTTATGTTTCTGAATGCATCTATAATTAAAAGAAAATTACACGGTGGCGAGAAGATATGGAGTTTGATCTTCTCGTGTTGAAAAATATTTTACTTGTTCGCTGCTCTCACTCGTAAACTTTCACCACTTCACATTTTTGCATCACTGTCATGCATATTGTATCCTCTATATACAGAAGAAATAGCATCTCGATAGATTTCATAAAGATATGTGTTTCACGAAAGACGCCGAAAGTGAGGCAGGCGGTCAGCTTTTCAGTTGCACATTCAAAAGAAAGTTTGGAAATAGACTAGTGCGTTCACAAGAACTCGATTATCCCTCCATCTTGTTTTCTATCTATATAGCATTAGCTTTATTATTAACTAAGGTTGTTTTGGCCCACACGAAGGTGTACACACGGCAATATTTACATAACGTTTAAGATAAGGAAGCTGTGACAGTACAGCAAGAATATTCTGTATTCCTAACGGCACTTTGTGTAAACAATATGACTGCACGATATAAAGGCGGGTTTTAGGATTAGAGTTGTGCGTATAAAGTACCAATGGTCCAAAGGTCGTTTCTCAAATGGGAACCTTATCAAACTAAAATTCTTAAAATCGTTAAAATGTTTCTAATGTTTAGCAAGCTGTTGCGATAGAAAAAATGATAAAAACCAATCGAAGTGAAAACGTTAGCGTGAATACTGAACCAGCGATAGGGTTTCAATATTTCGACTCTCGTTGGGGTTCATTTTTCGCATTATTTTTTAGTTGTAAGGAAAACCGGGGGGAAAGGGCAAAATTTCTTAGGCACAACTGAACTCTTATTTCCTAATAACTAGTAATTTAGAAGACATTTTAGTTGATCATTATCATATTAGACAGTTTCAATATGAATAGTCTGGGTAGATTGTCAGTCTTAGTAATGTGTTTTGACTCTGCGGATTCCATGGGGTTGGTTGACGTCGGAAGTGATATTTCATATTTCATTAATTATCTTCAGCTCCATTGATTCAATGCTAATTCAAATATAACAGCAGTTGAATGTTTTAAGGTTGATGTTATCTCCAAGGGATCTTTTTTAGTTGGCCGTTCATAGTATCATCGTCTTCTCTTTAAACCTTGTGTTTTTTTACCTAGCTTAATGTTTYATCTCAAATTGAAATGTTTGTTGTGTGTTTTTATCGCTTCTCTATTTGATGGTCTACAAGAGATATTAGTAAACTCGAGTAATATATTATAAACCATGCAATGTATAATTTATTTACTTACATAATTTTATCCATGACAAGTCTAAGCTATCATGGAAGGGGTAAGCACAACAGAGCTTATTATTATCACCACCACAACCATTTAATCATTTAATTCATTGCCATCATCATCATCATCATCATCATCATCATCAAGTATCATGATTCTCATCCTCATCGTCGTATCACCATCATCCGCATCATATTGTATCACCATCAACGGCATCATCGTCATCGTCATCAACATATCATAATAGTCATCAGCATCAGCTTCATCATCATATATCAACATCGTCTGCATCATCATCATGTATCATCCTCATCATTGTCATCAACATATATCAACATCACCATCATCATATGCCATCATTATCATCATGTATTATCATTATCAAAATCATGTATCGTCATTATCAACATCATTGTCATCATAATCAGTATCATCATCATCCCCCTCATGTATCATCATCATCTTTGTCACTACCATCACCATTCAACATTTAAAAGAAAAGATTTCTAACAGAGACGAGCATGCACTTTTACTAAGACGAAAAACCCCGTAGAACCTTCCAGAAGGGAACATTCCAAGTATATTCTTCGCTTTGGATTTTCTTCGGTTCATTTGAGCCAATTCATCGCCTAAATCTAGATCTAAAATAATTGTTTGTCTGTCAGTGTGATATAATAACTCCCAGCTGCAGCTCAGGCATCGAAACCTCCACCAAAGCCACCACCTTTTGTATTAAGCTTTCCGTGTCTACTGAAAATATGAGTCCCCTGGAGCTACCTTATTACTATTGCGCGTTACTATGGCAACAGTCTCTCTTACAAACAAAGCTATTAAACGAAGGGAAGATCCGAAACATGTGGCCTAAAGTGCTTTGATGCCATACTGTCATGTTCTACGTCAAACTAGGCGAAAATAGTCACTTTTCAATGAGTTTTTCTATTTCCTGTGATTTTTAAAGAATGACCACAAGCATGTTGCTGGATGGAACAGACTTTGAGATTGAGGCGTAGCTTGTCATTTCTCTTGTGTCGTCGGCAAACCACTGTGAATTAACCACAGGTTCCCGCGAGGGCCATCTCGCTGTGGCTTTGCGATCGCTAGCAATATAATTTTGTGTTTTGAAGAAATGCTTTGCAAATTTACGATTCATATATTCGAGAATTTACTAGATATCGAATGAGATGAAGAATACTCCTCTCCTGCTGATTCCCGCGTGACACAAGTTTTGAAGATTTAAACTTTCTATCTAATGTCTGGCCGTTCGGATAATATTAAATTTGCCAATTGTAGTGCAGAATGCTTAGCATTGGCGATCAGAAAGAACGTTTTCGTATTCTTTGATATAGTGAATGGAGGTAGATGATAAGAAGAGATAACTAGTTAAAAACTAGTGTGAGCTGCGTCGGTGTTTCTAATGAAACAGTCATGATAAAAGGGTAAATTATACACCTTTGAAAAGATGAAAAAACTTACTTACGTTTCAGACGCTAGTCCTTCGTCGGAGTGAAAGAAGGTATATAGCCAGAGGACCATTTACAAGGAAATTTATTAAGTGCTACTCAGTGATTATCAACCTCCACCTGCGCCCACACTTGTACTTGGATGCACCATCTGTTAATTACTCTTACTATCAATAATACTATCCATTTTCTTCCCTCCTTCACATATTAAATTAATCTGGTTACATTTAATACACTTGCTATCCATACGCCAACACATCCCACTTGATCTCACTGCCATTTATCACTTACCTTCATCAAAATTCACCGATCCACCCATGTCCACCACCCACACTTATCCCATCTAAGAAGTTATCTTTTACTACCTCCGTCTACCATCATCCCGGACTATCATGTGCTATTATCCATTGTTTAACACTCACACTATCACTACTATCCAATAATCGCCCGGCAATCCTAACCATTCGAGATTTTTGATGTTATGGAATGATTACCTTGGGCTGTACTTGACAAGACGGTTTAGAAGGAAAATTTCTCCAATTCTTAAAGAACAATGTCTTGCGTCCGTCGACAGCTGCATGATATCTCTTGATTACTATATTTTGGCTTTTATGATTAAGGTTTTAAACAGGAAAAATAAAACTGTCTATCGGCCTGGAAGAGACACAGTATGCATGGCGCTGGCTATGACATGCTTAGGCTGAAACTATATCTTTAGATAACAAGTACGAAAATACTCCACCAATGAAGGATGAAATGTTTATCGGGATTTGATGATTAGCATCATGGTTGTCACTCATTGTTGTCACTCTGCTGATGAATTCTGTTGTTCAAATGTATAAACAGATCCAGAAAGAGTTCGGTACCGAGGTATATTATCTGGACACAAAACACCATATGCTTGCTTATCCTGAAGTACAAGAGTAGACACACTTAAACGACACTTTAATTGCCAAATTAATCTATTATTATCAAGACGGCCAAATGGAAATTTTAAACCTTCAAAACTCGTGTTACGCGGGAATCAGACTCGATATATAGGTCAGGTTTCCTTTCCCTTTCATTCCCATTCTATATATTCCTAAGTGTCTCACAGGGATATGCGAACGGATCCATTGGATAATCAACTGATTTGATCACTTTTTTAAATTTAATGTTTATTTTAATTTTAATTACCCAACCATATATTAGACCACTTTCATGTAATGGATTTTTTTAAGTATAGGAAATCGCACGATTTCGAGTACAACAGACGGAATATATAGGTACGAGTAAAGGCTCGTCAAATTTTGAAAACTTTCAGAAACATAACGAGTATCTATAAATTTAGAATCGTACGAGAAAGTCGTGCGATTTTTTTGTTTATGATGTTCAACTGCACGCACCGGCTCAAATTTTCACTCGCGCAGCAGAGGACGGATGGAACAGACATTTTTCGATTTCTTTTTTCTTTCGTTATAATATTCTGTTTTCTAATTTCGTTTTCTTTCGTTTTCTTTTCCTTTCGCGGTTTCTTTCTTTTCTTTCTTTCTTTTTTCTTTTGAATTAAATTAGTATTTTTTTGCAACACGAAACTAAAAGATACATGTATCTTAACTGACTTCTAATTATTTTACTTCCTCAATTCGTATTTTTCTTTCCGCTTATTTACGCAAAAGTGGTTGTCAGTCAAGAGTTATCAGTCAAAAGTAATTTGATAACACGAAACTCTTCTACAAACCTATGATTCTTGGGGATTACAATTAGAGAATTATTGCATTGGAATTATACTAAACAAGTATTAATGATACCCTGGAAGAAGGATCGTAAAAGTTCCTCCTCCTCCGCTTTGGAGAAGATTAAGGTACTTTCCTTGCTATTAATTAACCGTGGATCAATTTTAGTTTCTTCCATCAATAAACGGCGCGTCAGTTCAGCGGGTTCCTTAATGCGTCTGTTTATTCCCTCTTCATTTTTCCTTGTTGGAAATCCCCCGTCGTTAATCAAAATTAAAATTTCAATATTGCAATACAAACTTCCACTACCCTCGAGAGTCATCAGTAAAATTGAAGGATCCAAAAAATTACGACTTATCCATATTCCTCAGATCGATATGGCTATACTATGATGCCAGCTTTGCTGCCATTCATATTATTGGATAATATTATAATATTATTTTCACCTTCCAAAATGTAGTACCATCATGAAATAACGCTTCGATTAAGTTCCAATTTTATCGTTATTAATTCGCATAGATCCCGATCATAATTATTTAAAAACAAACTCTTTAAATTCTCATTAATTGTACTTCAAAACTGGAAAGAAATTGTACATGTATTCTATTAAGATCAGACTATTTTTCATCTTCTATACTGTTAAATCCACAAACACACATAAAAGAAATATATATATGACTGTATATGATTATCAATCTAAACTTTTTTATTATTTGTATATATATTATTTATATATATATATATTTCGGAGGCCCACCAGTTTTCAAGCATGAGTTACCTTTACTCGTAAAACACAAGCATTTTCACTCCTATTTGTGCAAACACCTTTAGTCGATTTGAAGTCTTATAAAAGCTTTTAGGAATTCTCACTTACCACGGAAATGCTTTAACTGCGAGAGCCAGCCACAAAAAAGCAGTGAATAGACTTGCAGATGGTTTACGATGTGGGTCGCCTCTAGAGTCCCTGCATCTAGTAGCATATGGTATACTTTTTCTCAAATATTGAAACCTTACTCACTCTTTGACACCATTTCCCCTTTCAAATATATCAACACACTCGGAGACCAATAAGTGGAATCAAAAAGATATTCCTTCAAAGATCAACGTATTTCAATTGGTCAAAAAATCATTTGATTGACAGTACTGTGTTTTGATTGGAACAAACAAGAAAATGTCGACGTACCGCGTGGTCCTGCTTTTTCATCGTGCTGATAAATTTTCATACCTCGACATACCTGAGTATTTGGATGGGCTTGCTTTAATTAAGAATAAAATGTTCTTGTAAAGAGGAAGATATTATCATGGTTTATGAAAAAACATCCTTAAAAAAGTTTATTTCTGAACTTCTGCGAATGGCGTCTAAAAAATGTTATTTTTTTCTTGGTCTCGTGAGTTTGTGATTGTGGACGTTTTCTGTTATTAAAGAAGTCATTAACAAATGGCTACAAGGAAGTTCAAATTACTTAGATAATCATAATTTGAGAKGATTGTTTTGTCGTTACTCATTATTATTATTATTATTGATAGATGTAGGCGTGAAAAATGGTTTAATATAAGTGAAATAAAGATCGGGAAAAAAGATGTGAGGTCGACATGTTTTCGAAATTTTCAAAAAATCTTATTAAAAAAACCACAAAAATTACAAAAAAAAGGCAATCGCATCAGATTCTCATTAAGACTCGAGTCGGAAACAAAATAGCACAACATATCTCAGATATTGATATGGTGTTGTTACTTTTTTGTCTGATGTCTTAGTAGTCTCAAGCAAAAACGTCCTCAAAATAATAAAAACACTTGAATTATATTTGGGCTTAGTTCAAATATTTTATACTAATTTATTATGTTTTGTCACATTTTTGCTCAAACATAATTAATTATTTGGGACACAACCCAGCAATCAAGAGGCACAGAGCCATATAAATATGATTATCCGTATGTATTTTGCACATGTAACGTCGAAGGAAAATGGCGTTTCCGGGTGTTCTGTAGATAGCTGAAATAACGCATTAGTTTATAGCTCTCATATCTCATCTTTTCTCTATCAGTAGATCATTAATCTCTGTTTAGACTTATTCTTTGCTTGCACACTGTATGTCGTGGCTGATATTTTAGAAATCTGCCTTAAGGAAAGAAAGCTGGGAGAAAGATAGAAGAAAGATAGAAATAAGCTTGGATTAAGAAAGGTTGGAAGGAAGCCAAATAAGAAAGGATAGTAAAAGAAAAAGAAAAAACGAAAGGGAAGAAGGAAGGCCGGAAGGAAGGAAAGCAGTAAAATAGCGAGAACAAACATGAGAGGAAAGAAAAAAAAGTAAAAAAAGAGAGAGAGAGAGACAAAATAATAAAACAAATAGGAAACAAATGTCCCCGCGATAAAAATATGTAGGGTTATCTCCTGACAAAACTATGACTTTCTTCCGTCAAGCCAACTAATCTTTTTCTTTCGGTGTCATTTTAAATGAGTCCAGCCTCTCCTGGAATACATACATTCATGCGATAAGACAAATCAATAATCAAACTTTTTTGATATAATTTCCTAAGGCACATCAAGTAATCTGTGRCTTTGCTTCATTTTAGTGACTCATCGTGTGGGAACGTGCCAAAACACCCTGGAAGACAGTCTATTGGACTTGGGAAGGTTTATGAACGATCCAAGCATGAAAGGAATGGTGAGTAATAAGATTATATCAATAAAATCATTTCTATAGTTTGATTCGTTATTTGTTTTTAGAGTTATTTATACATAGCTCCGATTGTAACGATATATACGATAAGGCTTTGTCATCAAAACACATGAATAGACCACGAAGTCATGGATGTACTCCGATATACACTTTATATTTTGTCAAGGTCAGCCTCGATTTATACATTCTTAAGCTTTTTTAAGGTTTCCAATTGATTTAGGGAAAACCCAATGAATTACCAACACGAATAAAGTCTACAAATGAGGCTAAACAATCTATGGATCATAAATATCCTGATCATTTTCCTTATCAACGGCAAAAGCGAGAACTTTGAAGAGCTTTCAGAATTCAAAATCCAGCTTCAGATATATATCGTCTTATTTCCAAGTTAACTGCAGAAAGTTTCAAAAAATAGCTTTTAATTTAAAAACTCTACGAATTTGCAGAATGATTCTTTTTAGAAATGTTCAAACATACCGGCATCAGTCAAGGCAGTTGCCATGTCATTGCTGAGTCAAGACTAGAAAAAGGTTTTTTCACACCCACGTTACGAAATGCTATTACAGCATGCATTACCTTAATTCACCTTTAGATTCAATAACCCGAGGGCTGCTAAAATATCAAACACCATTCGATAGTGGGTTTTTCTTTTTCTTCTTCTTAAGAGTTTTTTTTAAAGTTCGCAAGGAAAACGGGAAGCGCAATAAAGTGCGCATGTGCAGAAAACTTAAGCGAAATATATATCTCTTTTGGGCGTGCGTCGTCGGTAGATGGATCAGGTATCAAGTAAAATAGATACGCTTGAAATAAACAGACTGCAGTGCGCACGCGATATAAAGGAGTACTTCTTAGACAAAAATTAACTGATGAAGGAACAATTGCTCTTGCAAGGACACTACACAAGCCAAGTTAAAGTAAAAAAAGCCGCCTGTGGCATACTCGCAGTAACAAGTAAGATTGCGCATAAAGTATCATAAATAAGTGGGGTCCTGGAAGCATGAGCGAACTCATTTGTATTTTTAGCAACGTGTACCGTTTAGAGAATATAAAATATATGCCGCCTGCGGCGTGCATGTCGGACCGGTATACATTGCCTGTCTTGTTTGTTTTTTTTTAAACAGTGTGAAATTCAGCTTACATGCACTAGAAGCTTCATCATATGTGGTGCTACGTAAATGTTCTAGCAATAATGAATTTTGAGCTCACATCCAACATCGGTTAGTTCATTTAATTTTTTCCACGAAAAACCCTAAAAGTCGCTGTGAAAAGCAAGTTCAATCACGCATATTTTCTTGTATATGCTCATTACGAGAACCAATTTAACAAATTTGCGACGGTTTATCGTGGTATTTTCTCTTATTTACCAAGATACTGATACTTTGTTATTATGTAATAACGGGACGTTGGCCCCCCCCCCCCCCCCCCCCCCCCCCCCCAAAACACGCAAAAAGTAAAAGAGACACGGTTTCAAGTGCGCGCTTTTTCCGTGCGCGAGGGATTCGTAATTTGTTAACGTAAATAGTTTGTTGGTATGTCCTTATTTACCATGGCTCTCGACCAATCAGAAAGCGAAAAAAAATTACATTTGTGATAAAAATGATATAGAATCATAATAACTAGTCTTGCTGCCATAATAGATAGTACCTGGGACTTATATATATATATTCGAAATACGGAAAGAAAAAATCAACGACCCAAAACCGACTACGACAATATTACTGCAAAGGAGTCCTTTTGTCGCACCAGGGCTTCCCGAGGGCACGCTTCCTCAAATAGGAGGGGGAAAAATAAAAAATATCTATCCACCGTTTTCGTGAATTTTGTATAAAAACCTCTGCTAAACAATTTCTGTTTTTAAAAGCCGCTATCTTTGTTCTAYTTAACAAAAAAAGTCTTTTCTTTTTTGTTTTATCAACCAACATGGGCGCCGAGTCATTTGCTATTATATTCTCTTGAAAAGAAGCAATGCTGAGTCTTTGTTGCTAGTGGCACGAAAGCCAAACTCGGGTTAGAAAACAACTGATTGCATTTAAAATTATATTAGAAATATTATGCATTACTGATGTTTTTGAAATTATATTTTTCTTTCTTTGTTGAGAAACATTGTTACGTGCTCCTAGTGGGCTTAATGGAGTCTAACAGCAAGATTAGCGATGAAAAAAAATGGACGTTTCGATGTCTCTGACATCATTATCAAAGTATAATGAGACTGTAATGGTGGTACTTTTAAAAAAGTGGACGACGTAATAACATCCATATCACATCCTCGATATACGTGGAAAAGAACGATATTTTTTCCATGCTGCTCAGAAAGCAAAAGAATAAGTTAGAAAGAGGGCTGTAAAGCCACTTAAGTCAAAAAGGCCCAACTATTTATTTATATAGAATCAAGCACGATAATTTTTTAAGTTGTGCATAAACCTTATCATAAAATATTGCTTAAAACGTTCTTAGAGATATAAAGTAAAAAGACAYGCAACTATGATAAAACAGGTGACAAAAGGTGTAGAGAAACACGAATATATAGTAATAATTAGAAGAAAAATCCAAAAATGGTTGGATGGTTAAATGAATTATTTAAATGAATAGAATGCGCGTATAATTGAGTTGAAATCGATTTTTTTTTTTTTTTTTGTTTAACTGAACAAGAAATCATATCAAATTTGCTATTGATTATTTGTTTTGATTATTTATTGATTTTATTTTTATTTTATTTATTTTAAGAATTGAATCCAAAACAATAAAATGTAAAAGAAAATATTGGGGGAAATATGTGAAAAAGAGTTTTTTAAATGCTGAAGAAAAAAGCTGTAAAAGAAGATAATGAAGCTAACATTTCTAGAAGGAAAAGGAGAAATAAATCGGTTCGCTTACCGGTTGAAGAAGCCGCCTTCTTTGTTAGTCTCCTGTTAAGTTAGATCCTAAACACAAAGTCACAGCCAATTCTCTTTACCTTAACTTTACCTTGAAACCCCAGAACTCTTTCAGGAAACATTGACGTAATTGGAAATTGGGCTCATTAGAAATCAAACCCTTTTAGAGACTCATTAGTCAGTCGGAAAAAGACTTTTAGTAATCCAGCTTATCCTAAACCACTAAAAATATGACCATGGTTTATCCATTGTAAAAACGATTAAATCTATTAGTTTTAGCTGTTGTATCACAGCGTGGGACAATCACAACAGAGCTAGCCTCAAACTAAGTGAAAGCCCAGAGATCGAATTAGAATTTAGAAGTTGATTTTTGAGGAGGGAGGAAAACCGGAGAACCTGGAAAACCCTCAATGCACAGGAGAGAACCAACTAACAACTCCTCTTACATACGGCATCGAACTCAGCGGGACTCGAACCCGGGTCGCATTGGTGAGAGGCGGTGCATTAGAACGCATTTCATAACCCTTCGACTATGCAACAAAACTTCTTTAACACCTTTCAAAGATTGCATGCCTGTTATGATATATCATGGTGTTAACCTTGACATTGTGCAGCACATGATAATGTAACATAGCTTAAACATTAATTGATAACATGAAGTATTTAAGGTGACTGCCTACTTTTGAACGTTCGATTTGAGCCCACGATGTGCGCGCGCTCAAAAACCTTTATCAGATTTTTAAGAGCTCCGAAACTACAAAATATGACAAATCAATGTATCTCTTTGTCATTTTGTCGAAAATATATAGGTATTATTGTAGAATGGTTGACTAGCCTTCCTAGAGTCTGCAAATAACTATTATCTTATGAATCTTAATTTTTTTCTAATCACTTCCGGTGGCGCAAGTTTTGCTCCAAAAGCTCGCGCGTAGGCTTCCATTAAATGCTGATTATCTCGAAAACGAGCTCAGGACACCCAATTTTTCTTTCCAGATTTGGAATCACCATTAGATTTCAATTCTATTGCCAATTTTTTAAATAATTCTCTTTTTTTCCGGAACATAAATAGGCTGCAAGAGCGACACACTTTCGTATATTTTTCATGATAATAATATAATAATAATAATGATAATTGCTGGTTTTCAATCATTCCCAGGGGTGAGAAATAACAAAAGACACGGCGGCCATGTTGGATGATATAACAAAAGAATTCATTGACAATTCTTTTGTTAAATTCATCCAAGATGGCGACTGTGACGTCATGTGCAAACGAAGAATAACGATGATTATGATAATGATACTAATGATCATAATAATAATATTTTTATCWTCATCATCAATATTATTATCTTCATTAATGGGTTACAAGAGCTTTGCTCTCTCGGCTACACCTCGTGTAACAACCTCCCCGTGTACTCCAAAACTTGATGGATCAATGACAAATCCTTTATTGGTAATACTCGCTAATATTTCTAATTTCCCCATTTCAGAACACGTGATATTTCCTAGAGTATAATTTCTTTGTTTGACGCATGGCAAGACAAATAAATATGGATACCACAGGGATACCACTCAAACAAAGACTCTTATTCTCTAGAGATGACAAGTGGTCTGATATGGGAAACCATCTTTAAATTTGATTCATAAAGATCAATCATTTGGAACCAGCTTTTCGGAGATTATAAAGCAAATTCATCAAAGATCGCTTGAATCAATATATTTGAATGAAGAACAAAACCTTACGCACTCAAAACGAAGGAAGTTATACAAGAACCTTAGGTCATGAATGAAATTTAAATGTAAAAATGAATATTCTAGTGAGTAAAAAATGATCATTTAGGCTGGATTTTCCTAAAAACTATCCATTAATTAATTTGTTTATAGTTCTATATTACCGGTAAATTGTAATCCTTGTATTTTTGAAGTACTTTATCATCAAATTTGCAAAGCTGACAAGATTGAGTTAGGGGTCATAGGCACTTTAAGGTTTATTGAGTCACGGCAGTAATTTTTAAATGGGGAGAAGATCGAAGAAGAAATGTTGGAGCATGCGCGCTGGTAGCTTAATGTTGCGTACTCAATATGTGAAAGATTCGCTTTTTAGTCTGTGTCTTTCGTCTTTATCTTTTTCTTTTAATCAGTCCTTTCTTTAAATTTATTTCTCTTGACGTATATTTTCCTTTCTTTCGTTCAGTCAGTCATCCGGCTCTTTCTTTAGTTTTTCTCTGACTACGAGGAGACAAAAGTAGAGGTTTTGACGTTTGTCTCTTTCTTTTCTTTACCCTGCGAGCAGAGTCTCCTTCTACCTCCTCTACGGAGTTAAAAGGAGACTCTGCTCGCAGGTTATCTTTTCTTTAAATGTTCTTTCAAAAAACCACTACTTATTACTTTTCTCTTCATAGAGGTATTTACTGACTTCTTTTTTAAATCTTCTTTTGTTAGTGTTTTTCTCTTGCCTTTTATCCGGTTTTAATCCATATCATAGCGCATTATCCAAGTCAGCCGGTTTCATTATCCCGACTTTACAGCTGATATGACTAACGTAGCTCTATCATCCAATAATCCATATTGAAATCCTTTTTAATCGATCAATACGACGCAAGGTAAAAAAAGATGACTTGGTAGATATCTGTATTCATTTCTTGCGTATTGAGACCATTCGTCATAGATTATCTACAGACCTTTCGCAATAACAGTCTCGCGCTCAGTTGAGCCGAAACACGTGAACTTGGCTTATAATCCGTGAAGGAAAGTTGTTGTATTCTAATGGTGCGTAGGCCTAGCGTGTCTATGACACACTTCCCCGGTTTGGTATAAATTAAAAATCCTGTGGCTAAGTGATCCTCACCTCTCCCTCCCTAAATAATAATCTCGGTTCCCCTACACCTCCATCCCAAGTTAATATAAGAGTGTCTTCGAGGATCGTCTTCGATTTTTTTAAAACTCCATCGTTTAACCATAGTTATTCCACTCCTACACGTACTACAAGGGATTTTTTCCGGGATAATGTAACAAGGACCGCAGCCGGCCAGTCTCCAGTTTTATCCTCTTAAAATATGGGCGATTTATTTTATTTTATTCGTTATGCTTAGAGGGCTCACTAGATAATCCTTTGGATTTTATTCTTCTAGGACGGAAATGATGCCACGCAGCAGTCGTTGCACAGTGAATACTCGCTTGGAATTAGTGAACTAGTGTGTTTAGTTCTGAACTAAGCCTGGTTCTGGTTGACTTCGTGCGTCTAAAACTATATTTGGTTTCCAGAAAATACTTTTTTTCAAGGTTAGTACTGAGAAAGTGGATTTTTAGTTCCGTGGTATTATTTTTATCCAGATACATTTTACTTAACTTTTTAATCTTAATTTTTTTACATAGTGGTCATTCGTTAAGCGCGTTTTTAAATCTATTTATTCATAATTGGATTCCCCTGACCTCAAAGAATATCATTTCACTATCTGCGCCCCTGTTTTAAGGGTCTTTTAAAAACAAACACGGGTTTGCCCTTACATTGCACGAGAATTTACTCTCCCTCCAATCACAGCACAAACACGGTCCGGACATGGTCACGCCACAGTCACGCCAAAGTCACGCCACTTTCAGACCAATCACATTGCGCGAGAAAAAAATCAGCCAATTAAAATTCTAGAAAACATCACGGTCAAGGTACGGCACGCTTACGACACTGCGCTTTTCACAGTCATACGAAAACAGCTCTATAAGGGAAACGTCAGTAACCACTTAGGTCTGGTCGCGTGATCTCTTACGATTTGCGGTTTAAAGTATTCGTAAAAAAACCTTATGGATCTTTTGTATGTGACAAACAAAACAAAGACTGGATTTCATGCTATCTCATGAAAATTGGAAACCTGTCGTTATGTCCTCCAAATAGACTTCTTCGGCTTGGGGTAATGTTTTCACATTTCAGATAGAATTTCAAAAACTCTCCGATAGTCTTTTGCATGCAGTACAGGCATGAAATTTGTATTAGAAGGAGCTGTCTTGTGCCTCGATGGTCAGTATGGGCAGACCGGGTGTCGCCGAAGCCATCGGGTTCACCATGTAATCAATCACCCAAATTACTCGATCACCAGTAATTATTTTCCTTCCACTTCTACGAGTCCGTATCGAAAAAGCGTAAATAGGTTAACCATTAAAGAAGCTCACCAAATTCCCGATAAATCATGATAATGTGATACCTTTTATAGTGAAATTCCAAAATCTTGCATATTCGCCGCGTCTACACCTCCCGTCTGAAATCCACGAGGGGGTTGGGGAGGAGGCGGTGGACTAGGTCAAGAGCTCAAAGCCTTGAGAGGAAAAACTTATTTTGATCTAGATCTCCTGCTCCTAAATCTTTTTCCAAATGATCCCGTCAAGCGCACACAGAAGCTGTCTTTACTGATCAACTAAACATAAATGGATAGTACGTTCATTTATATTGGACCGAGGCGCGTCTTTTTACTATCACACGTGTAAGGCCACCTTTTTGTTGTTGTTGACCGGAAGCGCGGCCCTTTAGCAGGCTCGTGTTGTCTTGCTTACAAACAAACAGGCCTTATAAATACTCGAAACTTTATTTCATTTCAGTGATAAAAGCTACCAGAGGTTAGTTCTACTTGCACAAGGCCACGAGACGTCTAGGATTCGCTATAACCTGATTACTAATCACTTCAAGGTAAAGATTTTTAGGACGTTTTTTAGTCTATTTTAAAGTGCCCCTAATGCCTGATTACAGACCAATTTAGAACAAATCCTCAAATTGTCATAAACGCGTTTTTCAAAATTTTTTTTCGTTTCAAACGAATTCCTGATTTGTTACGGCACGAAAAAGTTGGAAAAATTCTCGTGTCCACTCTCGAAATTTCAGTACCGCGTTCGAGGAGCCTGAAAAATTGTATAGACTTACGTCATCGGAGTGATGCACCAACTTTTTTGTGAGTCAAGAGTGGTGTTTTTAAAAGTTTTAAGAAAGAAAAAATGCTTTTACTTATTGTACGAGTGGATATAACTTGGAAGAATGCGCAAGTCTTTCACTTTTGGAGCGTATCACCCCGATGACGTAATCGCACCATTCCCCCGCACGCGCGGTCCTCATATGAAAAAGCGCGTATTCAAAACTCATTTAAAAATCAGGGATGCATCCAATTTGGAAAATTTTTTGGATTTTCGCATTTTTGTGAATATATCTTCAACTTACATAAGGTCTGTGATTAGGCATTAGGGGCACTTTAAGAAAATAGCACTTACTTTGTCGAGGGATGACAGACGAATAATATTCTAATTTACGACGCACTCGCTGTTCTTCTGATTGGGAATTGTAGAGGGAAAATTGACGGAGGTCTCGAAAGAACCAAAAGCAGCGAAAGGGAGGGGGGATTGGAATATAAAAAACTAAGGTGAGCTACAACCCCAGGTATGGGATACAAGGAGAGAGTGAGAAAATGCTAGAATACGAAACAAATCAGTGCACTGGGACAACATTCAACCTTTACAGGTCATAAACTAAAGAGTATACTAATCAATTACTCATACACGCGTAATAGTGTCACAGCCGTGAAAAGTTTTACAAAAGAGACCTTTAGCACCACGTTCTTGCTAGGTACCGCAAACCTCAAACTACAGTTCGACGTCAGGCGTTTTTCGTCAAACTTTCGACGTTTAGAAAGGCGTCATAACGAAATTGTTGCTGGAAGAGTTGTTATATTGAATTTCAATGATGCCGAGTGTTTCTCCGTGTTTGCGGGCGTCATTCTCGGCCTGTTCCCCTAGCGCGGGTTAGGGTAAATTTGATGCTAGGTCTCTAATCTAAATCAGACCTTCTATTTCGAACCGCTCGTCACTCTCTGGTAATATTCGTCGTTTGTGTCAAATACTTATTGATAATGTTTCTCAAGCTTTAGGGAATGACAGGTGGCTTAATGGTAAAATATTATGGCCATAGTAGAGGTCATTAGGTTTGTTTTACCCTCGTGTAAACGGGTCATTAAACCCACATGTGCTACGTTGATAATAATATCATAATAATAAAACGATAATAACACGACACGTGTTTGTGAAAATCCCAATCCTGAGTGAAAGAAATGAAACAGGTTCAAATTCTAAGTTTTTCTTAAAGAAGGAAATAAGTACTTTTTCGGCTTTTGTTGATTTAATTTCATTTTAAGACTCATACTTCGCAGCTCCTCAAGTTAGAAGAGATTTGGATTAAGGAAGCGCGCAAACAAGCTTGAATCTCCAGCAGTACGCTTGCCAAAAATAACTCAGTGAGATAAAAAACAACTTGGGAAATAATTTGTGCGCCACTACATTTGTAAGATGATTAGTCGAAAAAGGGTTAAGGCGGTTGATGAAGCCGTGAGAGCGCTTGCATCTCATCGTTGTGACCAGGGTTTGATTCCCGCACTCAGTGTCCGTATGCGAGTAGAGTTTCTGGTTGGCTCACACCTGTGCTTCGATAGTTTTTCTTCGGTTTCTCCGCCTTTCCTCCCTCATGGAACGAGCGCCACAGGTTTTTTAGACTTTGTTGTTTATTAGGTTTTTCCCTCGTTACAAAARAAGTAGAAAAAACTGATTTCTTTTTTATTGGTTTATAGCTCGATTAATGCTCCATCCCATTCCCTCTCTCTTCCGTTGTTGTGATTGAGAATTCAGCGGTCTTCTCTCTTTTAAGAACGAAAAGATAAGCTATGCTTTAATGAGCAGGTTTTTTGCGTCAGTCCACATTTGGCCAAAATTGAAGTATTTTGAACTACCCGTGAAAAACATTTCAAAAACAGCCTTCTATTGTTTACTAAAACCTTATTACTGCCCTGGGGCAGGCAGTACCTATATTTAGCAGTCAGCCCTATTGACGTCTGACAAAACTGCCGAAAATGAAAAAAAATTGTGCTTCGTACGAGTGTTGTTTATAAGAGTGGGTGAATCTGCAGGTAAGCGACTGCTCTAGCCAAGTGTCGATGGTTTTACAGCTAGTCCAGATCACGCTATATAGTTCCTACGTGTGACACGGCGAACAAAATTGCTTTTGTCGATTAGATAAGATGTTGGCTTGAATTTGCAAAACGACATCTTTAATTTTATTGTGTTTCGAAAAGCGAGATTGAATTGATTGAAAGATTTGTTTTTCTTAGGTTATAACACATATAAGAAAACCTGGCCAATATCAAGACTTCGACAATATTTTTAACGTGCACTGAAGAAAAAGTATACACGCTTGGGATTCGTAGGCGGAGGGTAAGAAAACCTTATGATATTTTCTTTTGTTTTTATCTTTAATGATATATATAATAACTTTAGATAGTCATCCAAGGATTATAATAGATTCTTTTTCGATTCGGAAATCATTTTCCTCTAGATTCTGTTCACGTTCAATTTTTCGAAAGGTTAGATTTTTTACTCCGTCTGTTTCGCGAAAACTAAAATATCATATTGATCGACAAATGACTTCCGTTCTAGTTCGCCCTCTAGGAATAAATTTTCTTTAAATAATGTCGACTGCCAGTTAATTCTAAAAGTATTTATATTCCGGCCTAAAATAAAGCAGTTGTCGCTCGATTTGGTCGCGGTAAGGTGAACGACTTTGGCTTGATAGTGCCATGTTTTTACAAATCAAATAAGGAGGAGATTTAAAGAAAAAAATTTATGCAGTTGAATGTTTTTATTTCTAAAATCAAACGAGAGAATGGTTTTTCCATTACCGATTAGTTTTTTAAGATTATTCAGTGGGATTTTATGCCCTGAATGATTCAGTGTCGGCCATTCCGCTATATTGCATTTTATTCGACTGCATCAGGCTCTAGGGCTTTGCCGTCCGTATTTTTACACAAATCAAATATCACTAAATTCATTGTTATTATCATGTTTCAAACATTGGTTTCTCTTTGTCATTTTGGCTTCTTTTCTCCTCGTAATTTCCTTGAACATTATTACCCAAGTGGATGTTCAATTTGTTGTCAGCCAGACCGGATGTCAGATCTTGAAGTGATGTAAAGGAAAACAGAGACGGCGAACCACAAACGGACTTTTCTTTAACCTTCTATAAACTCGAAGCACCCGCAAGCTCGGCCGTAAGGCTGCGTTCATAATGTATGGCAGGGGGGGGGGGACAGGTGAAATTGAGGGAGGATCGGGAAAATTTTGGTAGGAAAAAGGGGGGATGGGCAAATTTTTATCAAAAGAATGGGGGGGGGGGGGATTTTTGGAAGAAGCTTCAAGCCTTGCTTAGGGGGAGCCGTATTTTTTTTGAGAGGGTGTTAAGAATCATTCTGGACATTTCAAATTTTCACCTGCCCACCTCCTCCCCGCCCCTCTGCCATACATTATAACAAGCAAAAAACCGGAGAAGCAGTAGTGCTGCAGATTGTATGTATTAGATCTGTAGCTAATTAACTGAAACACTGGAAATGCTGTTCAAATTTAATAACAAAACTAACGAGAAAACTGAGAAACGTCAAAGACAGCCGCAGAAAACTCGATTAAAACTGACTTCGATTGTATGTTGTTCGAGGTCATTTAAATAGATGATTAAAAAACCTTTTTGTCAGACACTGTATACCATTGCTGTCATCCAGTTTGATTGAAGTGTTTAATTACCCAACCTGGGAAGAAAATTAAGAGAAAATAAGATATTCAAAAAGGTGCTCAGTGAAGAGAGGGGAGGGGGGGTGACGGAATTTAGTAAAATAACCATTTATATCTAAGTCCTCTTCAAAATACAAAAAWTTATTGAGACGACAGATGAATAAGAGTCTTTATCTGGTGTGATGTATAATTGGTGTTATGAATAGGAGCAAGAATAGAAACGGTGAGTTAGATGTCGTTTGCAATTGATAGAGAACTAAACATTAGCGCAGACAAATACTTAGGTTTACATGACGAAAGAAATAGGAAAAAAACTGAAAGCATAGACTGGACGAATTGATACCGACGACGAAAAAAATGCGAAGCAAAACCGATAAAGGGCACAAAACAAATGCAAAAAAAACGAACAACCTAAATAAAACGGAATCAATATGAGAACTGAAAAAAAGGGAACTATACGAATATATTATAATAAACTCTTATTATATTACGAAACCAACCCCGATAATCAGAAAATCAAACAGTTTACGTTAAATTTCTAATAACCAGAAAATCGCGAATAGTTTAGGTTAAATTTCAAATCACCAGAAAATCGAATAGTTTAGGTTAAATTCCGAATAACCAGAAAATCGAATAGTTTAGGTTAAATTTCGAATAACCAGAAAATCGAATAGTTTAGGTTAAATTTCGAATCACCAGAAAATCGAATAGTTTAGGTTAAATTTCGAAAAAGATTACGATAGCCAATCTGAAGAAAACCATACAAACAGAAAAAGTAGTGTGCAGCCGCCAAACGGAGAGAAAAACTTAAGGAAAACTATTTTAAAAAATAAGTAAAGCTGAAGTAAATTGGAAAAGAAACAAGAGTGATAGAAAACCGCTGTAAGTGAAAGCACCGCAACTCGTAAGGGAATTTGGTTTCATGGCAGGTGTAACTCAGTGTCAAAGATTGGGCTAGTTATTACTGTGGGTGTAAGCTCTGTCTTTGATCCACAAGATTAGATAAAGCAGAACAATCAATATTTACTTTGAAGCTGAAAAATAAAAAAAATCTAGAARCCACACTGACCTGACTTGCAGGTGTTATAGAGAGTACTGCACTAAATTAGCGGCGGCACACTGCTTATCACTTTACGATCCACTTTACCTCTACGCCTTTATCTATCGATTGTTTTTGCTCTTTTTTTTTTTTTTCTCTATTCAGAAAGATTTTGCGATTGATTATAGCTACGTGGCCTTGCGCAATTTTTGTATTGCTGGTTTTCGATCAATTCGATCAAGTGAAATAAATAAAGACATGATGCCCATAACAAAAGTTATTCACAACCCTTTTGTTAAATTCATCCAAGATGGCGGCTATGACGTCATGTGCAAACGAAGAATAGAACGAGCAGTCGTCGAGCAAGCAACAAACCACCTTCAAGGCTAAAATTCTAGCACGATACCGAGGTTGTCCGGAACTAGTAAAATGTTCAAAATTGTATAAAATGCCCGCAAAAGAATCACTAGCTGTAGTGCTGTGGAATCGATTTTTAACGTTGTTGAGGAGTGAACTGACCAACATTTCTTCTGAATATTTTCTCAAGTAGAAAAGTCGTGTTGCACATTATTTCATACCAAGAAATGTATTTGGTGATCCACGTGTCATCGTAATCGATCTCGCAATCAAGCCTGGCATGACGAGTTTTGCTGTTCGCTACAAAAATAGCCAGGTTACATAGCTATTATGGTCGCAAGGGCTCATGGGTATGTGCGGATAATCTTTAGTAAATATGACTTCCTAGTTCCCATGTTGGTAGAGTTTAGCTAAACATGTCGGCCAAGAAGCTGAGCACGTATTACGTTACTTATTAAATGATAGCAAACCACTTAGGAAATTGGCGAACGAGTGTAACAAGCACCCTGCTGCCTTTCTCGTTTTGTTTTAATACAAAGCAATCAAAGAGCGAGAAAAAACCCTATAGTTTCGAATATTACTAAGATTCTTAACGATAGGCTGCAAGGCTCGGTAAATGCGATTGTCGGAGTTGGAAAAACAAAACTGTTAAAAGTGCCGACTGGTTAGTTTTGATTGACGGCAGCAAAAATGATCCAATTCATTCCACCCAGATCCAATTTAACAAACAAACCATTGAATGATGTCTGAGTTCGCAGAATATTGGGGATTGCTTTTAGTTTGAATACAGTCCTTTGACTAAACGTTGTCGTTGATCGGATCATCCCTACGCGCCTAGACCGAAAAGGATAACGTGTAAATTACCCAGAACTTGCGTCATCCAAACTGCTTGCCAGTTTAAATCTTCGCCGTATGCTCGAGGCATGGTTTCAGCAAATTAAATGGGATCGAAAAAAGCGAGCTCAAGACGTGTTAGATAACATATGCGGCAGCTAGTAACTGTCAATTAATTATCCCCATGATCCTTTTCGGTCTAGGCGCGTAGGGCCGGATGAAGCCGATCAAACGACAACGTTTAGTCAAAGGACTGTATAYCACAGCACGCCATTGCACTATACTTTATACTCTTGCAAAATCCAGTATAACATGCTTATTCCGACCTATTGGGCACTCTTAGTTCCAACGGGATTTAATGAACGCTTTGCTAACCCACTCTTTTGTCTTTTGATGGTTTTTTTTTTTTTTTTTTTTTTTTTTTTTTTTTTTTTTTTTTCCTCTCGTTTCCTTGCCCACCTTGTTCTCATTGGTTTCGCCTTTTGTCTTGTTCTCAGTATATACCTATTTCAGAAATCGTGTCGCACCAAAAGCCTCAAGCAACAAGCCAAGACCGCAGAGAACGCCGGTACCTTTAGCTGTAATTAGTTTATTCATGGTGCATTTTCATTTATTGACTTCACAAATTGCTCCAAGCAAGGCTGCTTGAGGTGATAATTAGTGGAGAGCTATAGCCACTTGATGAAACATGAAAAAATCAATTATAATTAAAAGTACCGACGTTCTCTGGAGCCTTGGCTTGTTACTTGAGGCTCTTGGTGCGACAACGATTTTCGAAATAGGTGTATAAACACTCCTTTCTACCACCTCTTTCTCTTTTACTCCGACGAAGGACTAGCGTCCGAAACATCAGTAAGTTTTTTCATCTTTTCACGGTGTATAATTTACCCTTTTATCATTATTGTTTCATTAGAAACACCGACGCAGCTCACACTAGTTTTTAGCTACACTAAAACATTTTTGCCGCCTAAGACTGACTGTTCCATCACCAATGACAGCTTCAAACTTAATTGGAAAAAAAATTAGAATAATACTAAATTGAAGGTATTTTACTGTAATCTTTTACAAAACTGGCCCACCATTACCTGCCAATAGTTTAATAGGAACTCGAAGTCTCGATAAATAAATAATGATATTTGGTATGTAAATTTTTTCAAACTCCAAAAATCAACAAAGTAAACTTCGTTTCGATGCACGGAAATCTTTTTCTGCAATATCGAAAACAAAATCGATTTTTGGTCTGAGGAATTGTACATCGTTTTAGTCTTCAATTAAATTGTTTTCCATGTTTAATATTTTAGCTCAGACATAAAATAATTCTTTTTATGAGGCAAGAGTTTTGAGTACACAAAACTTAAAGACTTACTATTACCTATACCGTTGGAAAAATTTATCCAGAACTAAAGTAAAGGATTTTGATGGCCGTGAATGACATCAAATATTTGAAAACGGTGAGACACTTCCAAGCCGTTTTATTCTTCTTAAGTGGAAGGTTGATCTTGGCCAGTGCGTTTATTCGGTGAGCTATTCCTTGTTTAAATCACATAAACTGCCATTTGAACGCCAGCAATTTTGACATCTATCACCGCATTTTTTCTTTATCGATCGAGTTTTAAAGATTTTATCAGCGATCCCTGAAAGAATCTATCGATTAAATCTACTCGAACCCTTAACAACAGTAAAAATATCCGAAATGTTTGTCTTTCCTGGACGCCTTAAGTGAAACACTAAACCCGTCTAACCATTAACCTATGTAATACTGTCTGATATTAGCAATACAAGTGATGGCTATTTCAACAAACTATGCCAATTATTCCTGCGTAATTTAGTCCTTTTATTGTATCCAATGTATAGGRAAAAATGCTGAGAAAAGCCCATGACAACGAACAGATTATAAGCCATTATCTAAAAGAGCGTGTTCAATGAAATTATGTTCATAACCGCTAGTATTGGGCGTAAGAGTGAATGAAAAACTGACCTTGATATTGCTATGAACTATCAAACACCGCGGAAATATTCAAATTTGTATCTATCTCTATCTCATCTTGCATTTGGTTTTTCTTTCTTTCTTTTTTCTTTTTCGTATTCTTCGCTTCATTAGTTTATTTCAACCATTAGTTTTCCTTGCTTCTTCCTTTATTATCAGAAAAAGTCTCAATAAATTGTCTTCGGAGTTTCACTGATCTTTCGATTTTTCCCCCAAGTCCCTTGTTGTCATGCCAACCAGATTATCGTGGGGCGCGCAAAGCACGCGTGTTAATCATATAATCACCTCGATAATCGTTTTAACGACAGGAAAGACTAAAACATTAGTTCAATTACGCCTTTAAATACTTTAGTAGAAAACTTAATGAATTCCTCACCCGAATCCATGCGACTTTTAAAACATCTAAAAACGTGATCAAATATCTTACTTTTATTAAGATGGATGGTTTATATCGCGGATTTTATTAATCTTTGATATCTTTATCGATCGAAGGGCGAGGGGCTCTCATTCTTGGAGATTATGTCGGCTCCGATCCTACATGTGTGATGGCAGCAACGGGTCATTATCAATTTTCCTTCGTTCAATCTAATCTAATGAAAATATAGGTTGTCACTCGAATTTTGCGCGAGACTTTGGTGCATAAACCCTCCCCCTTGTTCGCGTGTCTAATATTTTTAGGCCTAAAATTAACATTACAAAGTTAAAAGATCTGATATCGTGTTATTGTTATTAGTGAATTCTCGATATTTAACAGAAGCAGCTGTTCAAGATTACAATTTAACTCATTTCACCCCTCTAATGAACCAAAAATTCCCTACTCCCACTATGGCTATCGTTATTGGTTATCATTTGAATTGTTCTTAATCATTATAATTAAGTTAGTCAAAGAGAATGTAAAATCATTATATTCTGTTATTGTTTCACAAAAAGATCATTGTCTGTTTCGGCCGTGCAAAGGACAATGTTTCCGGCGGCCAATTCCGTTTTAAAAGAATTCTCTATCCCACGCTCTGTTTTCAAAATTTATATTTTTCCTCTTCTTGTTTTCGAAACTAAAGATAAACTTGGCCTTTGATTTTAAAGGATTAAGTGAGAAAGAAGGAATAATAAGATTGTCATAGCGTGTGATGCTATTTTCAATTGATTTCCAAACATTGATCTCGCGGGGATCTCGTGGTGATTCGGGGATTCTTTTTGTCTCAAACTCAAAGAAAAATATTCAGATATATTTGATAAATGTAGCTCTAGGATCACATCTGATTAGCCTATTTCGTGGTTTCTATTAGGTCATCAGAAGGCAGTACCCCATTTATCCCAATCCATCAACTTTGGCATTAACCATCTGCATTTTCTGTGCGCAGTTCAGAACGGAAGTGAGCGCATTTCTTAAAGGAGGTCTGGTAAGATTGACAGCTGGATTTGCTATSAGTTACAAAGGGATTATTTTCAATACGGTCGCTTAATCACTCAAGCGTGTAGTAGCATCCCAATACACTAACCTAGTTCAACATTGGAACTTCGAATGAAGAAAGCTGTCAGTGCCTGGCTACCCCAAGAGTGATGTTCCTTCTTACGCTTGCTTAGTACTTTTTGGTTCATTTACCGACTTATCGTGTTCTAGTTCCTTAGTGTTCGTTTTTGAGCACCCTTTGAGTGAGTACCTTATTCATGTCGATCGTGCTTCTCGCCAGTTATCCAATATTACCTTTGTCACCTAAATAAGAAGCTATAAAGGTATAAGCTTTAAGAGACATTCAATTGTTTTAGGAAAGATTCGAGTATTTTGGCCAGAGGAATTCGCGGTGGAAGAGTACATTGATATTTAGGAACCGTCTACCGGACGCACAGAAGATACTGACCATTTTTATTGGACGAAAGTTTGAAAGAAATCTGTCTTCGTAGTTGTACGAATAGTTAATTATACTCGTCTGAGTTGTCAATTTCATCTACAGGGCAATATTTGGGGTATCCAGCAAAGCKACCCGAAGTTGAAGAACCGTGTGTTCTTATGAACGAAGATGGCTCTTTCTTAGGCTCGTGCGTACGTGAGGACTAACTTGAGTGACTCTTCCGGCTAGCTTCATCGTTCTGTGACTACGACGACCTATAAACTACAAGCGAGGCATGAGCACGTACCGACTAACTAAATAAAGAACTACAAAGAACATGGCTGGTTTTATTTGTCATTGGGGAGCTTTGGTTTTCACCGTCATCATCTTGGAACTAGCCGGCGCAAGCGATGGTAAGAATACCAATATATACAAAACGAATCTTCTCTTGATAGTTTTACTCTGGACCTAGCCTGACTTGTTACTTTGGGTTTACAATTTCACATAAACATTGCAATCATTAAACAATCTATATTGAGTTTTATATTTGTTGTTTTTGAAAATAACCTGGGTAAGTAGAAAGAGAGAGAGAGATGGGGATTGTATTAACGCGCACACGGAATATTTCTGGGTGAGAGTTAAATGACCATATAATACAAGCGGCATATAATATYTTCCGCTGAAACTCACTAACGACCTGCATGCAATCCCTATCGCTCTATATGCGGTCGTATCATATATTACCTTGTGGTTTTGGTTTCTGGGTATGATCTGAAAGATGAGTGGAATTCAAGTGAGCTAATGACCAGTGTGAATACAGTCTTAGAGCTAAGCCACCAAGAGACCGACTCACTCTACACTGTTTACAAGAGATATTTTAATAAGATTTTCTTTGGGAACGTGGTCTATTGAATGTTGGTCTTGGAATTAGTAAGGAAACTCTCTCTTGAGAAGCCGGGGTAGAAAGATAGGACAGCATGGTGCTGAATACACTAGGTGATAACGCACTGTCAATATGCCTGCCACTGGTCTGACACCTACTTTACAAATACGCAAAAAAGTATTTAATGAATCCTCTTTTTTAATTAGGGTTTTTTTTTTTCCTGCGAACACGGATAAATTACTGTGTTTATTTTCCTGTTTCAAATTACCACATTCTAAGTCCTCCCAAGAGATTTGTACAGAAAGACCAGATAAATAGCTTTGGATATCATCATCTTCCTTGTGATTGGCAGATTTAATGGAACATAAGTGTGTTATGAAGCGAGAATTAGTGTTCCATTAAAATGCTGTTCTGATCTGGCGAGACTATATCCTAGAATAATTTGTATTTCTTAGATATGGATGTTGAAGCACATTGTATTATAAGAGGATGTGTGTGGGTGGATAGACACTCTAGAAAACATATCTGTAATTGTCATGGCCTTCCTTATTCTCATCATCATCATTATTGTCATCAACAACATCATCATTTCCATTACTAAATATATCAAAATGTATTCTAATTTTTTTGTAAATAGCACAGTGTATCTTATCAGAATGTTGCTGCCATCAAATAATTTCCTCTCGTTTTAAATTTAAAACTAAAATGTGGTTTGACATTGTGAGTTATATATAGTGACCAATACCCTAAAACAACCTGTAGGCTGATCAAAGTCAGGGCATGGCTAACACACAGATCAAACTCTAAAGCAACCTCTAGGCTGTTCTAAGTCAGGGCATGGCTAACTCCCAGATCAAGCTCTGAAACAACCTCTGGGCTGATCATAGTCAGGGCATGGCTAACTTACAGATAGAACCCTGACACAATCTCTGGGCTGATCTAAGTCAGTGCATGGCTAATTCACAGATCAAATCCTGATACAACCTCTAGGCTGATCTAAGTCAGGGCATGGACCCTGGAACAACCTCTGGGTTGATCAAAGTCAAGGCACAGCTAACTCACAGATGGAATCGGAACTGAGTGTGTGAGGTTTGTTGAGGAAGGACCACCATAGAACCGAGAAAAAAAACCTCAAATCAATAGAGACCTAACAAACTCTACTCTCATGTGATTCCGAGTCAAGGAACTGAAGCCTAGAACACAGCTGTTAGAGGCAGCGAGTGCATTACTGCCAAATCACCCTTGATTCTCTTGGTAAGATTTGATAGAGTGAGTAAGGTATGATGGTTTGTGTATGATACAGTGAATAATGTATGATGGATTTTCTAAAAAACAAAAAAATAATAGCATTTAATCTTAGTAATGTTGTGGCTAGTTTAACTGCATGTACTCGAATATCATTTAACATTATCTTAGTTTTAGATCCTTATCCTTTGACACCATTCTTGATAATACTAATTCAGTGTATCGAATTCTTTTCCCTTTTTGCCGAGGACAAGACTTGCCTAAGCTTAAAATATTTGTATTCTTAATCCCATTGAAATGTCAGATCCCTAGGCATACATTAGACATACATTGAACTTGTGAGTAAGAATAGAAGACTGTCTAAATATTTAAGTTAAGGTACCTGTCACTGTCAAATTATAAAATGTCTAGTTGGTATTGTTATTCAGGAAATACAAAGAGATCAGGTTTTTAGCTTTTAATGAACTAATAATCTAATTCGAAATCTAATTCGAAATCTAATTTGCCTTTATGTCATTTAGTGAATCGATCCTTGCTTCTTTCTGTTGATATTCTTTGAAGGAAAGATTAGCTGTTAATTGTCTTTGAAGTCATTTAGCAACCTAGAATATTTTAGGCGATTGAATTATTCAGCATGTCACAGCAAAAGTAGGGAACTTAGAAAAAAGGGATTTGATGGGATTTTTTTGCTGTCACGTGCTAGATAATTTCATCAGCTATTAATACCTATGAAAATTATTCTACAACTTGACATATGTTACAATATGTTTGTTAATTTTTTCTTTTCAATTATTGTTCAAAACAACCTTCCTTCTGTTATCCCATTTCTCCTTTATATCAAATGTCATCATAATAATGTATGTTGTATTTTTCCATTCATTGATTCCTTCTGTTGCACCATTTCATTCTAATTGATTAAGTAACTCCTTTATGTCAAATGTTACCATAATGATTTATATCGAATCGTTCCATTCATTCCTTCTGTTGCCCCATTTCATTCTGATTGGCCAAGTAACCCCTTTAATTAATACGTCCACCTCCATGTTGCTCCTGAAAAAAGAATTAATGAATTGAATTCTTTCTTGGGCATTTCTATGTTCAGGTAACGTCGGTAGACCCATACAGCTTTCCTCCTCGCTTCCTTACTTGTTCTTAGGCTCCCATTTGAAGAAATTTCTAATCATTCATTGCTTCTATGCTCTCAAATTGTAATATAAACAATATACACCTATTTTTTTAAAGAATTGACGGTCCAAGATTTAAAATGAAATGAAAATTTTGTGCCCTCATGCTTCCTGGCTGAAATACTCAAAGGTCATGCTTCATATTACTATCTAAAAGGAAACTACATTGTTAGGCTATGAATATATTACAATTTGCAGCGTGTTACTCGTTCTCAGATTTCAGATCTCCGACCGACAACGGCTTTTGTAATAGTAGGCCTTTATTCTATTAATAGTCGTTCCTCTACTGTAGAGTAGTGCGGTTAACAATAAATTGTCTCAAGTGTGTCGTGAATCATGCTGTTATCAGTCATACATAACAGAACATATTCTGATAGTTGCGCATTCATCCAGATCCGAATGACGCAACGAGCCATGAAGCCACAACAGGATTTTGAAGATGTCAAGAAACTTTTAAGTTTTGGACATTTTGCATTACCAAAAACACCAGCCCTTTTTTTTTTCTTTTTTTTTGTATTCGATTTCGCGGCTGTCAACTCTAGATGCGCGCGCAATTTTCCTCCAATTTCCTAGGCCATGCATACAGTCGCCTGCGTTCAGCCGGTATAATAGCACGTCTACTTTCTCCTTTAAACCTGATTAACCTGTTTTTGCTCGCTCTAGGCCCTCCTGCACTGAAATCCAGCAGCAGTCGTCAAATTGTTGAACTGGGCAAGAAAGAGTTCAAGCTGAAGTGCGTTGTCCGAGACCCCACAGAAAAGATTAAGACATATCAGTGGTACAAAGATGGCAAGAGAGTAAATTCGATCAAACAGCCGCGTTATATTATCAGGCGAAAACGTTTCTTAAAGATCCTCAATGTCAGCAAGGAAGACAAGGGTATTTTTGTGTGCTTGGTAACCAATGACTACGGGACCAGCAATGTAACGATTAACCTTATTGTTGGAGGTAAATAATCGTTTTCTCATTTATTAATGGTCGTGTTGTCACGCAACAGTTAAAATGAAACGCCATTCTGAAATAAGTTTAAAGAAAAAAATGCATTACACGTTCGGTTTCGCCTACTCCTAATTGCCAATAAAAGTCGGACCTTTTGCTATTTTAAGTAGTTTCAATTTCTACACCACAAAACTTCTAATGATGTTGATTTCGTAATTGCTACAGATCCGACGCCACCACCCGAAAAAAGCAACATCAGTGGTAAGCATTCTTACTAAAGGCCCGTTTACATTAGTAATTTTGTCGCGCAACTTAAACTGAGCCGCGTCCATTCCCAGTTCCCGCGACAGCCAGGGAATTTATGGCAATTTTACGATATTCCATGCTTGCCACGTAGTGTGCATGGCTAAAGGAAGTGCGATGGTTGGACTTTCCCTCCCCCTCTCCCTCTGACCTATCCCCCCCTGCGCCATTACGCAGCCAGGCTAGAGATTTGCATGTAATCTTACCAATATTTTTCTAAACTAGACATAAATATTTAATATATATGCCTACCATTGAATTAACAGTGGCTCCCAAGTTTACTAACTTAAAGGCCATGATGGCCACCAATCTGGTGTACAAAGAAGGCGATAAGACTGAGTTATTATGTGAAGCCAAAGGAAGCCCACTTCCAGTAGTTACCTGGTTCAAAGACAAAAAGCCCTATCTTTCGAATATCGACCACCAGAAAGCTGGACCCTATGACTATACATTAGTGCTACAAGAACTTGAACGCTCACAGCAAGGAGAGTATACTTGTAATGTGTCAAACACCAAGGGATGGATCAACTTTACGTATAATATTGTCGTGAAACGTGAGTAGTAGACAAAAACCAAGAGCTCGTGAATTTTTTCTGTGTGCCGGTTTCCAGTGGCGGATCTAGGATTTTTAAAAAAGGGGGGAGGGGTCATTGATTACTAAAAATGAAACACAGTGGGCTACTTCGATGATGGGGCGGCCATCTTGAATCGTATGGCTTCGTGAGTCGTCCAGGAGGGCAAAACAAAAGGAAGATGCTGAAATGACGACCCCACTGTTCATTTATATGAATTGATCTCTAGATCAATTGTCTTGCTGTGATCCGTAAATGTCAATCTACGCCATTATTGTAACAAAGCTTTGTATGTTTGCCTCCTGGACGACCCACAATGCCTTATGATTCAAGATGGCCGCCGCATCGTCAAAATAGCCCATTTCATCCTTCTTCGATTCAACTGCGCAAATATTTAACAAATAGTTTAAATGTAAAATATAACCGAAAAAATTCTAGAGTTTTATCTATCTGTCAATTTAAATTGGGGTTTCAGTTTGCGTCCTCGTCAAAGAGTTGGGGTGGTGTTGAGGGCATTTCCGCGTAAAACCCCTACTAGATCCGCCACTAGTTTGTGTTTGTGTATTTCGTAGAAGTTATTTTCARATCGTGTGTCATTTCCTTGAGTATTTTTTGTTGGGGGAGGGGGGAAGGGGGGGCAAAACAAATATTTTTACTAAAGGAATGACGTGATTTGAAATGAGTAAAACGTTTCTGTTCATAATCGCTCTAAGGTTCTCGAAAATAGTATTTGTTGATCCTTTGGTAAATTCCGCCAACTTGGCGTCCTTTACGTCACAAGAAAAACAAGAATGGGTGTGGCTAAGTCCATCAAGAAAAATAAAGTAAAAATTGTAGTGTTTTCGTATCTTAAGATACTAAAACGATTTTTTTTCGTAACAGCTAAAATACGGATTGGTCCACGAGTAAACACTATCTCTCCAAACACGACAGCAGTCAGCGGTAATTCAGTAACGCTCATGTGCACTTGTTTCTACAACTCTGCGGACGAAGATGTTTCGTTCAAGTGGTACCGGGAGACAAGAGCGGGCGCCCGAGAGCTGATAAATTCGACGTTCTACGAAAAACTAGAGGACAAAGGGCGTTATGACATTCTACAACGAGTTGAATTCTTTCTTCGTTTACCGTATGTGACTGAAAAGGATGCTGGGAGGTACATGTGTCATGTTCGTAGCAGGATAAGCTCAAGTTTTAAGAGTACATATGTGGGTGTTAAAGATGTTGTGACAGGTAATATATATTAACTTTACTTGCTTTACCTGCTAATTCTCATAATTCTTCTACAGTAGTACTTTGCACCGGTTTTACCTCCTATATTAATAATAATAGTAATGATAATAATGATGATGATGATAATATCTACTTTATCAATGTCAAAATTTATGATGATGAAATAGGGACCACGTGAACTGTTATTGCTACCCTCCCAAAACAAAATGTTAATATTATATTTTCGACCAAACAAACGAAGTGTTATTATTCTTTCCTTGGATTTRGTCTGAATAAACTTTTTTAGAATTTGTAAAATATTCTGAATTCTGAATTTCGTTTTGCGCATGACCATGGTGTGATTTATAAATCTTTTGTGACGAGCCTTCTTTGCCTCCATTCTCAAACCTACTCCTTTTCTTTTCGCTATTCTCTYCAATTGGATTTTCAATTTTTTGTCTTTTGTTCAGTCCCAGTCACTCCAACCACCTTAATTACAAGCGGCTCGATGGGGAAACCAAAGCCCCAAGCAGAACCGACCTCGGACAACATCGTTGAAATAGGTTCGTTCGTCGTTGGAGCAGTTTTAGTGATTTTCATCGCTGGAATAATTGGCTGTTTCTGCTACAGAAGATCACGCTCAAAGAATCTCCCCAGACAAACCATTTCGGAATACAACAGAGACACTGAAGCTGTCAACATAACTTTTCCAGAACCGCCACCATTAGAAACCCGTCCAAGAAGAACTCCTTCTACATCCTCTGCTGGATCAGCGGCTGTATTTCTACGTCAGAGAAGCATGCGCAGTCGGCTGGAGTCCAGACTTACGCAGCTGTCTGAGGTGGAGATTGCATACGATCCAGAATGGGAAGTTGATAGGAATGACGTGATTTTTGGGGAGGTACTTGGAGAAGGAGCTTTTGGAAAAGTTGTTAAGGCTAAAGCTTATCTGACTAAGGATGATCTAGCRCCAAGTACTGTAGCAGTAAAAATGCTCAAAGGTTAGTTTTCCTCTTATTTATTGATTTGATCTGAAATTCCTGGGCTCGGCATCTCATTCAATCAGGCACTCCCTTGGTTTTTCTCCAGGTTCTCCGGATTCCATTTTGATCTKTGACTTAGCTGTGTTATCTGTCCAGGGGTTGTTTCAGAGAGCGCGTGAGCTTCAAACGGGTGGGGGGAAGGTACATGAGTCGTATGGGATAAAGGTTGTTTTCCAAAAAGAAAAAAGAAAAAAAAGAAACAGAAAAGTTGTATTCCCATTACAGACAAGTCCCACCAACCTCTGTTAATATATAAATATAACCTAAATAAAATCGGTAATTGATACTTTCAGATGATGCAACAGAAGTCGAGTTTGGAGACCTCATATCRGAAATGGAGGTCATGAAGAAATATGGAAAACATATCAATATTATCAACTTACTTGGAACCTGTACACAAGATGGTAAGTTGTCTGACAGGTCGCAAAACAGTCCCTCCTTCCGGGAAACTCCGCGCAAAATATTGATCAGCTCAGAGGTTATTTCAGGGTTCGATCTGTGAGTTAGCCTTGCCCTGACTTAGATCGRCTCAGAGGCTGTGTTAGGGTTCGATCTGTGAGTTAGCYGTGCCCTGACTTTGATTAGCCCAGAGGTTGTTTCAGAGTTCAATCTGTGAGTTAGCCTTGCCCTGACTTTGATCAGCCCAGAAGTTGTTTTAGGGTTCGATCTGTGAGTTAGCCTTGCCCTGACTTTGATCAGCCCANTAGCCTTGCCCTGACTTTGATCAGCCCAGAAGTTGTTTTAGGGTTCGATCTGTGAGTTAGCCTTGCCCTGACTTTGATCAGCCCAGAAGTTGTTTCGGGGTTCGATATAATTGACGATAATGTGTGCATTTTTCAGGTCCTTTGTTAGTTATCGTAGAATACGCAAGTCAAGGAAACTTGCGGCAGTACCTCCGGGACAGAAGACCTGTCAGGGATTACGAAGATGCGATGAAACCTCCAGAAACTCTTTCTCTTTTAGACCTAATGTCATTCACATACCAGATAGCGCGGGGCATGGAATATCTCGCATCTAGAAAGGTGAGCAGCAACTACACTTTGCGATAGTACGAGAGAAAACATTAAAACCCCTCTTATAATAGAGTAAGATTCAAGGTGAAAACAATTGTACAAAATAAGGGGGGACTCGATTTTATTGATTTAGGTGGTTAACGCCCTGTTGAAATGCTCAATAATGGGTGTTTATAATCACACTATATTTCTGTGCATATATACTTTGTTTAGAATACATACAAATATACAGTGCATTCATTTGTGCGATTTGACTTTTAGCCGGTCTTGAAGATATTCTAGGACAAAATCCAGGGTCCCGTAAGATGACCTTATTCCAAAGCTATAACGAGAATAAGCCCCGCCCCCCCTCCCTCCCCCAGGAAAAGTACTTTTTACAGGGAGTTCCAACCGCACCCATAGAAATGCCAGTCAACCTGCTTTAATGAAGCGTGTTGATTATTTCAAGCGAAAGTATATTTTGTCGGCATAACTAATAGTGATCAACTCTGACTTGGTTTGTCTTTTTCAGTGTATTCATCGTGATCTCGCTGCTCGTAATGTTCTTGTAGCTGATGACAAGGTCTTGAAGATAGCTGACTTTGGTTTAGCTAGAGATGTTCATCAGATGGACTACTATAGGAAAACGACTGACGTAAGTTGTCTGGAACTTTACGTGCTCTGCCATCACGTCAGTAATGGACTACTTCGATGATATGGCTGCCATCTTGCATCGCAAGGCATTATGGATCGTCCAGGGGGCAAAAATAACTTTCTTGCTGTAATGACTTCGGTTGATATTAACAGCTCACCACAAGGGAATACGACAAAAGATGAATTAATAAGGCACATTGATCACCTTTACCCATAAAAGAAAGACAAACACATGAAACTCTATATATTTTCCGTCATCTTTGTTTTGTTTTGACCCCTGGCAAGATGGCCGCCGTATCGTCCAAGTATTCCATTAACCATACTTTACATAGTGTTGTTAAAACTAAACCTGTTATAGGGGAAGCTAGATTTGGAATAGAGAACAAGGTGCATTCTGGTCTAGCTTGGGTACATATTTTGTTCATCATGCCTTATATAGTGCTAATCAAAGCTAGACTTGGTATATCGAACAAGGTGCATTCTGTTCATTATGCCTCATTATGCTGCTATGTTCAAACTTCTAAAAATCGGCCATCCTCAGGAAATTTCAAGTGCGCATGGCCGATAAATAAAAATTGACCGCTTAATAGAGGTATAAAGCTGTGCAGAAACTTT